GCTGTCTAATCTGCTTTCCTTCGTTTTATGTGAGTCAAACTTTCTTTTTAATGGGATGGTCTAATAATGGATAGAGACCAGGTACGAACCTATAGTGGCTAAATAAATCTCTAGGAGAAACAAAATAAAAAAATCAAGTAAAAAAATTGCGAACACCCAAAGTAAGGACGTACCAGCCTCTCTGAACGAGGACCTGCTCGCTTGATGCTAGGCAAGCAATATCCTACTGCCTCTACCCCGCTAATCGCTTGTTCGAGTCATCCAATGCTACCATTTAACAGTGAAAAAGCGCGAAACGCGGTGTTATAACTAGACTCCTAGCAGAAAATAACCCTCAATTTTCAAAGGGCGGTACAGGGAGGCGTCAGAAGTGCAACTTTTCAAGGCCACAGCGCCTTGCTTACTTACTGTGAAGCCGCGAAAAAGTGAGAATCTGAGAGACCGAGGACCAGACTACTTGTAAAAGGAAGGGTACCTGAGATTTGCTGAAGCGCGGGGAGTGTCTTTGAATCAGACCAGTTTCGCAGCCTGCTCAAAGGACAATCCTATGTGAGTAGTATGTAGTATGGTTGCATTACTGATTTTGAGAACATGATACTATAGCGTCTGGAGACTCTGCGCGAAAACACAACTTGGAGGATATGTAGGGAACCCGCAAGCGGGAACCCCTTTCATAATGAAGGCAGAGGGAAGACTGTTTAGAAGCGGACCAGAAATATGAAATAACCACCAGTATTCTTAGTTGTTTTATGTGGCTGCATGCTGCTTGATTACATGTACAACCTGTCAATTACACAGTAAATCAAAGTGGGGATTACGTAATGATTAATTCATTTCTTAATTTATTTCCGGCACCGTGTAAACATTTTCCACGCACGTACTAGATGTTGGGCGGATGTTAACCATACAGTGCATTCGTTTTGCTCTCTCATAAGCTGTTTTTCTCTTCGTTTTATGTGAATCAAACTTTCTTTTTAATGGGATGGTCTAATAATGGATAGAGACCATTACGGAACCTCTTCTTCTTCTCCCTAGCGTTAGTCCCGCGCCGTCGCAGGGTCCGCTGTTCTTGTTAGACGTCGCCACTTGTTCCGATCCACTGCATCTTCTGCTGTGGCTTTCAC